CGATCACTGATTTGTTTGCCTTTTGTTGCGGTATATGAGTGACACAAATGTCCATCACTTGCAACACTGACCGCAAGACACCTGAAGACATGACTTGCATTCGTTGGTTCTTCAATGCGTCCAAATGGCGACCCACTCGAGAGGAATGGCTGTTGGCGTCGCAGTTGGTCCAGAGGGAGGAGATGTCGCGCATCAATAGATTTGTCTTTAAAAATGACGCAAAACTGGCTCTCATTGGAAGACTTCTGATGAGAAGTTGTGTCCAAAAGAGCATTGAGTCCATTGAGTACAAAGACATCCGATTCGGTCGTACAGAGAGAGGGAAGCCGTTTGTGGCGACGGACCTGATTGGCGACAAAGAGTTTGATCTGAATATAAGCCATTCGGGCGACTACTGTGTGGTCGGAGCCGTAGATACCTCGCGAGTGGGCGTCGATGTCATGAGAATTGAATACTCGGGTCAACGCAATGACAGACCCATCGATGACTTCTTCCGGCTAATGAACCGTCAGTTCTCTGACAGCGAGTGGCGGTTCATAAACAGCGGTTCCAATGACTCCGTAAGACTCTTCCGTTTTATCCGTTTGTGGACTTTGAAGGAGAGTTACGTTAAGGCAGAGGGTTGTGGTATAGCTTACAATCTCAAGAGAATCAGCTTCGAGTGCCCGACACATGAGTTGCAAACCGGAAGAATAACGAGCGATACTTTGGTTCGAGTGGACGGCCGACCACTCGATGATTGGCTCTTTGAGGAGAGTCTTCTGGATAGCGATCACTGCGTTTGTGTCGCATATAAAGCCGGAAATGCTTTCAAACAAATCCAAAGCCATTTGAGTCTCAATTCCCGAGAATTTGTGTTCAAAGAAAAGACAATCCAAGAGCTGTTGGAAGGAGTGGTTCCGTTGGATGAGAACCAAACTGTTGATCACAGCCTTTGGACAGACTTTGAGAATAAACTCATTAAGAAATGTCATTAGATTAGAGTTTAGATAAGACTTTCAATATTATGTTGAATACAATCATTGATTTTTAATAGATTTATATATTTTCTAATTATTTGTATAAATTATTTTAAAATTTGTTTAAAATAAATGCTTAATATTTGTATAAATAGTTTATTTCAAATGTCATTTATTAATACAAAATCTATTATTATTTCATAGACTCCGAGGAGAGAATGCGATTTCAAATCGAGTTGGAGTTCGTCCAGTGTTTGGGAAATCCTAATTATCTAAACTGTAAGTCCTATACAAATATTTAATTAACAAACAAAACAACTCGATTTGAATATTAAATTATTTTGTCTGTGTTTATAGATTTAGCCCAAAGAGGATATTTCAAGGAAAAGAATTTCATTAATTATATCGAATATCTGCAGTACTGGAAGAGACCGGAATACGCCAAATATCTCAAGTATACCACTTGACACATACCATACCAATCCAATTCATGTGTTAACCTATACTGTCTACCAAACACAGGTATCCAATGTGTTTGCATTTCCTCGAACTCTTACAATACGAACACTTCCGGCGAGAGTTGTCTCGAAGCGAGTGCTCGAAGTTCATCGACGACCAAATGCTTCTCCATTGGCAGCACTACTCCAGAAAGAGGACACGACTTCTGCAACAAACCTCCAATCAATCGCAAGACAACGCTAAACAATGATAGCATAGCTCTCATGATTATTACTTTGATATTTTACTATCACTTCATTAAGGTTTACATACTCATTGTATTTATTTGTCAAAACTGGCGATTTCTTGACCCAAAGTTTGGTATTTTGTCAATAAATTAATTACATTCTCGTCGTCCAAAACATTTATCTAAAGAAATAATTTTTTCAATTATTCAACTCTTGTTTATAAAGAAATGTTGATAACATACCTGTGCATCGGATAGTATATGAAGGATTTGGTCCTCCATCTCCATGAGTAGTGTCTCTTTTTCAGCTCTCATCTGAATGGCCACTATATTATCAGTCGTTTGGTTGCGTTCGTCCACACCTGTCGATCCTTCACTTGTAGACCAATTAATTAGTATGATTTTACTCATAGTTTTTGGCATCAAATTCAAGCGAGTTTTGCAACACATGTATAATTTAAAATGTGGAGAATATTCTGCGAATTCATTGTTGAACTTAATATACTGTTTGGAATACATTTGAAATAAACAGTAAGAATAAGAATAAGTAAAAGTTGATTATAAATACAAACCTGAATCTCATCTTTCACTGTGATTTGCCTATCAATCAATTGCATTAGAATTGAATTTGTCTCCAAATGTTCCACGTTTTCAATGATAACTACTTTCCCGTCTTTGATGGCACTGAGGAGCAAGATCTGGAAGTCGTCTTCATTTCCAGTTTCAAATCTAATCACACTTTTATGCCACCGTTGTATCCATTTATTGATGTATTGACTTTTATTGATAATAATTGGAAACCGTTTGCAATGCTGTGCTATTATGGCGTTCTCTACATTGAACGGGTCGTCGGGAA